AAATTTTTAGCACAAACACCTGTGTTCCAAAAAAGAAAAGGCTTAGTCTTAGACCAAGGGTCTTAGCTTTCACTATATGATTACAAAAGAGTAAGTTGAACAAAGGTAAACAGAGCAAAGGAAGCAATAATAAAGGAGTAATAATAGAAATCAAGAAAATATAAAAGAGAAAAGTCAGTGAAAGAGTATTTAAATTGGTAAATCCCTAGCCAAATTAATTAGGAAAAAAAGAAAAAACAAAATCACTGGAGGTAGGATTTAGATAATACTACTGCAGCTACAGTTTTCACTATTTCATGTAACAATATAAACTGGTGTAGTCTCTTAAAAATTATCTAGCAGAATCCTCTAAAGCTGAAAATATTTATATTCTATAACCACAAACTCTACATCTATATTTACACCTAAGACAAGTGTACACATTATCCTCACCAAAAGACATTTCTAACAGCACTATGTGTACTTGGCAAAACTGGAGTAGGGGCAGAGAGAAAAAAATCCACATAGTAAAATGGATAAATAAATCATGATGTGTTCATGTGATGGTATACTTTCTGAACTAGCCCAATAACATGGATGACTCTCATGACATAATATTGAATTTTAAAAGTTAGATACAAAAATTCCTAAATAATTCCACTTACATAAGAATTTAGAATAAGCACAATATTATGAATTATGTCAGGCTTATTTCTAAAGAATTCGGGACACTTAGAAATTGTTTTCTTCAACTACTAGTCCTTGTGACAATTCATACTAGAGAAAAATGTCACTCTCAATATATTTCTATAAGAAAAAGACATAAAAATCAAATGCTAGCTGGAGACAGTCTTGTCTTTGATATATCTTAGACAGTTACATTTATTTTCTTAAATTGATATCATTTTTCTTTGATTGCTGAAGGACTAGCTGTCCTGAGAGAAAGTTACATCTCACGAATTCTAATTTCAAACTTTACAATTGTCACCATGAGTCACAAGCGGGCAGAAGTTTCAAGGACTAGAGTTACAAAATACAAACTCACAGGGCAATATAAATTACTGAGCATGTGAAACAGATTTAAACTACATCATAATTTTAAAATAATTGTTCTAAGTATTTTTATTCATAACTTTAGAGTTGGAAAAAACTAAAAGATGTTCTTACACAACATACTACATTTTTTCCATTCAAATTATGTAGACGTATAAAACATGTTTTCCACTTTAATATAGAATTTTGTATAAAGTTGACCAGCTGATGTGGAGAAACACAAGGCTGCAATGACACCTATTGACCTGGAATACAGCTTAATGCCTGTGGTGTTTACTGTTTCACTGAGTTTGCAGGCCTTAGAGCCAGCAGTCTGATCATCTGTTTGGAGGATAACAATACACAATATGGAACCTATGGAGGATCTCCTTCTGAAAATGGTAGCCATTGTTAATTCCCATTATCTTGTTTGGAAATCCTGTATCATTTTCATTGTTTTGTTGGGTTGAGTTTTGTTCCTTTTTGTCTTGTTTGATTTTGTATTTTATTTCATTTTTTTTTTATTTTAAAGGGGATAAAACTAAAAATAAAACAGAATAAAACCAATCAAAATAAACCAGTAGAGGTGATATGAACTTCAAAACTTTACAAAGTCAGCAATAGTTACCATAATGCCTTTTGTTGTCTTCAAAATAGCTGCAGATAAACCTTCAGACATAGTAAAAATCGAACAGAACAGATAGAATAGAAACAATAAAAGCAAAACAATGAATGCAACAAAGGAGTTCAAAACAAGCCAATAGTAAATCCAAAATGGCTACCATAATATGTGTTGCTGTCTTTTAATTAGCTGCTCATGCCATCAGATTTAACATAAGCAAAACAAAAGAGAATAAAACCCAACGCAACAAAACAATGGAAATGATATGGTTTCCAGGCAGGGATCTCTGCCTGGTGAGGCCTGGTTCTCTCCCTCCACAGTTTGCAAATAGCGCTTGACTCATGGAGAGAGGCTTGGGTCTAGCTGTCCCTGCTTGGCAGCAGCCCACCCTTGGCATTGGTTTCCAGGCTGGGTTCACCTCCTGGTAAGGCCTGCTTCTCTTCCTCCTAAGTCCACAAATGGTGCTGATTCTATCTTGTTTGATTTTATTTATTTATTGTCTTTTTGAGACAAGGTCTCACTAAAAAGTTCAGGCTGGCCTTGAGCTCAGTTTGTAGCCCAGGTTGGTTTTGAACTCACAACAGTCCTCCTGTCTTAGCTTTGCATGTGCTGGGTATTACAGGCATGCACCACCATGCCCAGTTTTGTTTGATTTTGTTATATACAATGGTACAGGCAGCTATTTCACAGATAGCAAGATATATTATGGTAGCCATTTTGGATTTACTATTATCTAGTTTTGAAGCCCTTTATTGCATTCATTGTTATGTTTGTTTGTTTGTTTGTTTTTTCCTTTTTATCAGTACCAGGGATCGAACTCATGACTGCCTGCTTGCAAGGCAGGGGCTTATGCCGCTGAGCTAAATCCCCAGCCCCAATTGTTATGTTTTTTAATGGTTATATTCTGTTCTGTTTGATTTTTACTATGTCGGAAGATATGAGCAGCTATTTTGAAGACAAGGGGCAATATAGTAACCATTGTTGATTTTCTATTATCTTATTTTGATTGGCTTTATTCTATTTTATTTAGCTTGGTTTTATTCTCTTTAAAATAAAAATTATTTTTAAAAAAGTTATTTAGCATATGCCTTATGCCTAGATGTTCCCCCTCAAAGCTTCATGTGCTCATAGGTTGGATTTTGGGGGATGACCACATCATGAGTGCATGATACTGAATCACTCCATTGATTGATTTAACATAGTCTGGATGTGGATGATGCACTTACTGAAGACAGAAGACCCACCCTTGGTGTGGGTGGCACCAACCAATAGGCGTGTAGCCTGGATGTAATAAAAAGGGAAAGGAGAAGAAGAAAGGGTAGCTGCTTGTCACACCATGAATTGCTTCTCCTCTGCCATGCCACATGGTCCTGCTTTAGACAACTAACTATGGGCTGAAACCTCTACAAACTATGAGCTAAAATAAACCTCTCCTCCTTTAACTTCTGGGTCAGGTATTTTGTCCCAGCATTAAGAAAATAACTAAAACACCATATAACAGTAACTCACATATGTATGGTGCTTTTTAAGTACTTTCATAAATGTAATATTTTGTGTTATTTTTCACTTTATTAAGCTACATGAAATAAATATAGCAGGAGTTATTTTGCCTTTTATCAATACAAAAAGTGTGGCCCAGTAGAGTCCCTGTTCTAGTTATCACCACAAATATATAGACAAGTCAGAGTTGCATTCAACATGTTTCTTTTTCACATTTCCTTGTTAACAAAAGAAGTATAACAATTGTAACCTGTAATTAACTCAGATATAAATTTGGGATGTGATTTTTATTGGGCTCTACTTTAGCACAATGTTAGCTTTGTATTTCTATGTAAGGCTTTTCACAGACACGTGGTTAAGTGTTCTCTGTTGAATTATCATACTTGACCATTGTTATCATCTGACAAAACAGTGAAATACAAGTGAAATTTAAAATAAAACAATCAGTTTTCCTAACAAACATTTTAAATGCATCAGGAAAACAGATGTACAAGTAAAAAGACATCTTAAAGTTACCTCAAACATTGATACTTGACATTGTAAACAGTGAAGTCACTTGATGGTATATATTACCAAACAGTTTAATATGTGAATATTGATTATTAGCCCTACAGTTTTATTATATTGTCTCTAGTAAAGAGGTTACCGTCATATAGCTATTTAAAAAAATCCAAAACCTGGACACTCAAAAATATATTCAATTAAGAGTAGAAATCATGACCTGAAAGAACAGAACATATAATACAAAGAAACAGCGTGTGAAGAAACAAAGTTATGTTAAAAAAAAATATGCTTCATGCTTTGAATAATCATAGAGAGATTAAAGATTTATTTCCTTGGATAAAAAGACCCTACATTCAAATAAAAATTTATGAAGCTATTTGTTATTTTAAAAGTTCTGCATCTTTACAAGGGTCCAGTTTTTCATTCTCAGATACTTAATAATAATTCCTCTTGGCAGTCATTTCCACTTCAGTGAGTGTTTCTGGTGATGTGGGAGAAACAACTGCATTCTGGACTCCTGCTTCCCTCCTCGACTCACTCATTTTACCAATATTTGTTAAGTATATGAACTAAACAATGAAAAAAAGTGATTGTCAAAAATAAAAGGATTATATTTCCAGAGTGCTTGTAATCCAGTAATGGAAATAAATGTTAAACAAAAGATGTATTATTATAAGCTGTGATGCAGTAAATGAACACAGTGGGGTGTGATGAATGCCATGAGAAGACATCAGAAACATTCAAGACAGCCCACCAGCATGGAGTTCTTTGGGCAGGCAACATTTACCGAGGCAGACTGAAAAAGGGAGACGGACTCCAGGAAGGGAAATGGTGAGCATTGCTGCGAGTAAAGGATTCTTGACTTGTTCAAGCAACTGAAGCCTTTAGTTTATCATTGCCCAACACACATATTTAGAAAAAATAAGGCATAAATTATTATTGCTATTATTATTACTGCTATTATTATTGCCAACCTCTTCCTTTGAAGAGCATAACCAGATTCATTGGTGGATTGAGACACTAAACAATTTGTCTCTGACTTGACAAACTGTCCAAAACAGCAGCAAACCAGGTGAGAAAATATTTTTTCTCTTTATCTCAGTGAAGGAGAGTCAAATGAAATAAGATAATAAAACCACATAACAGTAGGCACGTTTCTTGTTAATAACATTTTCAATTTTATTGCAGCCTTTATTCCCATCCTAAATGTAAAATAATATTCATCTTTCTAAATTCTCTAGCCCTAATTCTCAAATCATCTTCCTAACATAAGAGAAGTTTTCTTTTGTCTTCAATGAACTATTTCCTAGTCATGAAAAATTTTTTAAATTAGTATTTTATGCAAAACTTATGGCAAACTTACATTCCAGTGCATTATAAAGAAGTTCAAAATCTTCATTTGTTTTAGGATTATGCCTTCGGTAATAGTCTAGTTGCATCCATTCTTCTTTTTCTTTTCTTTTCCTTAGTTCTTCTTGTGCTTCCCATTCCAACCTCAACCTTTTCTGTCTTCTTAAATCCTCTGTGAAGAGTTTAGCATGCCATCGTCTGTAGTAAGTCTGTATTACAATGACCTGTGTTAAATGAAAAAGAAATAAAAAGTATCTATTATCTACTTGGTGATCAGATGATAAAGAAGGCAGCAATGATTATTTTGCTCCCAATTCAGTGATAACAAAATAATGAGAGTCTAGTTTTAGTTCGGTGGCAGGCTTCTTATAGCTATTAAATGAAAACCAGAGATAATGTACACTGCAGCTCTTTCTCTTTAAAATCTAGTACATGCAAGATATCCAGTACACGCTAACAACCTTAGGAGACTGTTAATACAGTGCATATAAGTCCAGGCTGTGGAGTACAACTTAGTGTACATTTACCATCTCTACAATACATGTATGATTTTGGGTAAGGCCCATCTCTCTGCTGTAGTACCCTCATCTGTAAAACAGTGAGCATACTATGCATAAAATAATGTGTTTAGCCCAAGCTACAAGTTTTATGAATCAATTATAAATCATAATTATCTCAAGCTTCCCATTAGCTTACAAATATATTTAAAACAAAACTGTATGTTTTAAACACATAGTACTGTGTGATAGGTTGTGTAAAAGAGGCATTTAAGCAGATACATATTAAACTGCAAGCTATACACATGTATTGGGTATTATGGTAAACTATAACCCTCAAAAAGGTAAGGGACAGTCTGTCTTTTTATTTATTAAACACAAAATATGAAGAGGTTGCATCAACATTGAGGATAGATGTTGACACATTGCTTTCCCTCATCTTAATATCTAATGATTACAGAAAGATATGCAAAGGGAAAACTGGAAAAGACATTGGTTCATACTTCTAGGGTCACCAAAAGAATAGAAACTTTGAGGAATCTCTTCTAGAAAAGTTACATAAAATAAATTGGAGAAGAAATATATAACCGAGTCATCAGTGGGAAAGCAACCTAAACATAGAAATTGCTCCAAGACTAGTTCAAGCTACAAACTGGTGGATGCTCTGGGCAGCAGGCCCGCTATCAAGGTAACAGTTTGGAAAATGCAAAAGAGATAGCCACGCCTGGTAGTGCATGCCTATAATTCTAGCGCACTGGGAGGCTGTACCAGGAGATTGCAAGTTTGAGTCCCGCCTGAGCTACTTAGCAATTTATCCAAACCCTCACTCAAAATAAATTTTAAAAGATGTGGGTCTGTAGCTTAGTGTGAAGGCCCTCCAATGAGTCCCCAGGACCTCACTCACTCAATCAGTTATCAATCAACAAATAAAAGACACAGGGTCCTCTAAGACAATTTAGGGAACAGTAACAGAACATCTGCACCTAGATTGTAATACTAAAATAGTAGGTCTTGAAAAGTAGTGGCCTGTGCAGCAATATAAGCATTATCTGGAAAATTACCAGCCCTGCAAACTCTCAGGACCAATGCCAGAGTTGATGAGGTAGAAGTTGGTGTGCAACCCAAAATCCTGTACATTAACAAACTTTACTAACGTAAAACAAAACCACACTAAATGTAATTAACATTTTTAGAGAAAAATTTATCAGAAAAAACAATCATCATGTAAAATTTAACAACAAAAATTACAGCATAATATTTGTGAAACTAAAAAAAATATGCATTATCTTGAGTGCTGCCAAATTTATTAAATTTAAAGACACCAAAGCATATTTTTTAAAAATTTTATTTAAGGAGAAAAAAAAAAGCAGAGAAAGGGTACAAGTTATACAGATTTACAGAAAAAAATAAACAGTAGGAAATCACTAGTTAATGGATTACATATTGTCATCAACCAAAGCATATTTAAATGACAGAAAACTCCCCCTTCTTATACAACAATGAGAGACTGGCAATCAGTTTTGAGCTGGGAGAAAAGTTCTGCCACAGGTGACAAATTTCATCCTACTCATATGTCCATTTGGCTGGTCCACTCATCCAGCCAGCAGAAGGGGAAAGGGACAAAGGTCACTTTACAAGCCATAACTGGCAATGTCTCACATCGCCACCCCTCAGTCCTCACTGCCCAGAACGACTAAAAAGAGAGGTTAAGAAACGTAGCCTTGTACAGGTGGCTCAGATAACATTATCGTAATGGGAAAAGGAAAGAATGAACTTTAAAACAGAGCCAGGTGTTTGGAATGTACAATCATAGTTGGAGAACACACAATGCCTATGAAGGAATTAGTAGTAAAAATGTAGGTGAGAAAATCTTTTACAATGTAAAAGGAAAGGTCGTAAATATTATAGAGAATAAAGGAAAATAAAGAATGTGAACAATTAATTCAGACATTCTAAAATATGACTGATTCTGGACACTCCAAGAGAATACAGAAAGTTGAATACTAAAATTACTAAAAACATAATACAAGAACATTTTCCAAAGGGAGATAGGAGCTCAGATAGAAAGAGTCCATTACTTAGTCTCAACTATATCACAGTAATATTACAAAATAACAATGATAAAATGAAAATACCAAGGGCTTCTAGAAAACAAGGAACAAAAAATGAGAATCAGATTGATATCAGACTTCTAATAAAATGGAGCTTCAAAGTTATAAAGGAAAGTAATTCTGGAAATAAGTCTGAATTTAATCTTTATATCTACTCAAACTAAAAATCTGTGGATGAGCTTTATTGAGTAAAGACTTCGACTGTTTACTTTCCATGCATGATCTTTGAAAGAATTACTAGAAAATACATTTCAGCAAAATTAATAAATTCTACAGGGTAGTTTAGAGCAGTGAATAAAAACTGCAAAATAAAAACTCATTAACCTAAATATATTTTATTTTAAAAAATCCTATATATCAGTATACATGCTAAACCAAATGGCTAACAATGTAACTATATAGTAAATTATATATAATTATAAGATCAAATCCCTCATAGGAGGAATGAGGGAAGAAAGAAAGAAAGAATATGAAATGGAAAGGCCTACTAAAGATTTACTTGCTCATAGAGAAGATATATAGTCTGATTACATACATATTTGCCATAAAAACAATTAGATGTGTCTTTAAATGTTTTATTAGTGATTACTAAAATATACAGATTAAATATTTACTTCTGGCTAATAAAATAATAAAAGAAGAATAGTTTAACGAAACTGGCAAAAAAAAAAAAAAAAAGAAGAAGGAAAGGCAGTAAAGGATCCACAGAAATGATCTGTAAATTAACCAGGTGAAATGGTAAGAATAAATTAAAATATCAACAGGCATACATCATACCATCTCATCTAAAATAAGAAACGTTTAAGTAAACACTAAGGATTGAACTCTAGAAACCAAAGATTAAAATAAACTGTGCCTTAGTAGAAAGGTAAGTTGTGAAGATAAAGGAACTTCTTAAATGGAACCGCGTTCCTTACCCTGGCTTTAACCGTTTCCTTTTGACAGCTCACTGCTCAGCCCTCCTCCCACAGAGGCTCCAACTCACTTTCCAAGATTTCATGGGCAGATCCATGTGGTTCTTGATGTCATCGTCTTTGGTAGGCATTTAGATTGTCACTCTCTCAGCTCCCAGTAAGCCAGCACTTCTTGCTCTGTTTTATGAGTTCAAACATTCAGCTGGCATTTACTCTTTTCTCATGTATTCTGTGCCCCTGCATGTTTATACTTTTCTAGTCCTTTAGTATCATTTGACTGGAGTTGCAAAAGTGGCATAGAGTTCTATTTCTCTACCTAATATCTTTTCTCTTCTACTTCCTCTTACAAAGAAAATTTCAACTCTCTTGAGAAACACCATACTTCTTTTAAAATGTATTTTTCACATACTCTTGTCATAGTGATAGTCACATGACACAGTTTAGGCCAATCAGATGTAATTGAAAGTCACCGGGTGAGGCTTTCATGGGGGAAACCTTTGAAGATGATGTTTTCTCTCTTGTTGCTCAGACAAAATATCCAACGCCCAAGATTAAGGAAGGAAAGGTTTATTTAACTCACAGTTTGTGGAAGTTTCAGACTGTAATAAGCTGGATTCAAAGCAGGGTGGCATGGGAAAGCAGCAACACTTGAAGGTGTCAGAATACAGCAAAAGCAACAAGAGCAAAAGATTGGGGGGCAGGCCTCTTTTCCTCCCTTATATTGGAAGCAGGCCAGCCCCTCTACGGCTAGGGTAGCACTCACACTACCTCCATGCCCCCCTCCTCTTGCACATGATGAAGATGTTTACAAAATGAGGACCCTGTCTCACTGCTGAGTCACTTAAATATCTAGATTTCTCAAATTGACACAAAGTATCACCATTACAGATGGCAAACTGTAAGGGACATGTACCCTTGACTTTCCCCTTCTCTGTGCACAGAATGCAGCGGTGGTGATGAGCAACAGGCAACTAGTTCCACATCACACAGCAACAAGGTCAGGATGAGATTAATGCAGTCAGGTTGAGGTTCCTGATAATATTGTAAAACTACCATCCAAACCCAGTACACTAGTTAAGTAAAAATTAGTCTGGACCAAGAAAGTAGAGAACCCATCAGTCTGGAATAACTGGACCCAATGGAATGTGCTACAAAGTTAACAGGCAACAGACTTTCCCCAGAGGACCTGCTGCAGCTATAAAGTCATAGCAATCCTTTTCTTTGAGTGACTACTACTTTTTTACTCCCTGAGACACTTTGTTCTCTAAAATCATAAAGTGTCAGAAACTTTGTTTCAAATTGGATCAGTAAGAATGAAACATCTCACTCTTGCCAAGAGGATCTAAGTCACTTTAACAGAGAGAAGCAGCCTTGATTTACAACCCAGCTGATGAAGTTCAGAGAACTTCAGAGAAAAAACATTTTAATACTCTTTTAACTGTGTTCCCAAGGGAGCAGCCCCTGACCCACTTTGCAGGCTACACTTGGATGCTGACCCACTGAAGCACAGCCTTTGCACCGAGACTAACAAGAGACTCCATCACTTAAATCACACCTAAATTTTACTGCCTTCCAAACTCTATACTAACTCTGTATACTAACCCTTGTGTTAGTGAACGTAAGTTTGGACTAGAAAAAGGAAAACCTCATCTGCAGACTATGAGGCTGATTCTGTGGTTACCCTTGTGTGCAATTTACTTCAAGGAGTGAGTCAATGAACCTGACTTTGAACTGCAGATTCACCTGTCGAAGTCTTGGGCTGAATGGACTAATCACACTTAGCTCCAATCTTCCTTTCACTTAAAAGAGAAAATCTTATTGAAATGCCTGCTTTGAGGTTATTTTTACTAATGAAAAAATAATACTAGGAGGTAGACTGAACTAGTGCTTCCTACAGGAGATCAAAGAGATTGAAAATAAACAGCTGAAAGAATAAACTGGGGAGATGATAGAGTCATAGAGACTTTACGAGTGTCAGACAAAATAGATTTTTAATGTCCTGTTTGGCTGCAATTCGTTGGAAAAGGTCCCTACGTAATTCAGCTATGACAAGGGTAAGGCCAACAGATAGAAGTGTTAAAACTAATGACCAAGTAAAACTCAGTAAGATCAGCAGAATGTGACCAAAGACAACACATGAAATGCTTGAGAGGTCTTAAGGAGAAACAGAGGATTAGGAACATTTAGGATTCTGGTTGCTTTTCCAGAGGGATATTTCAGATAAAGACTTGGTTTAGTACACATGAAAAGTGATCCACATTCATCCAGGTTCTATCTCAAGCTAGTGTGGTTGAGAAAAGCACACAGAGAACAGCTGATTTTTAGCATTTGCCCACAACAAAAGTTATCTTACCACCTTTAATCTCCAAGCATGGTATTCTGCCGCTGAAAAATACTTTCCTGGTGTTTTAAGTTTATCTGTGATGTTTGATACATACACACCAATTTTAGTCATTTGTGTGGATGTTGTATTTGCAGTTTGTTGGATCTTTTTTCTCTCAAAAACTGTCTAAAATAAACAAAAAATTAAGTAAGTCTTCACCATAGAGGGTTTTCACTATATATACACATGTTCATATGTACATATACCGGGAACTTTTCTACACATTCAAGTTAAGTTCTTTTACTAGGTATATTATCATGTAACTAACTAGAGAATTTAAGAGTCATATGGCATGCAACAAATTATTGATTTTATAGCTTTAAAAAACTAAGTAGAAAAATTAAAATATTACCTGTGTGTCCCTACAAAATATATTAAGCTTTTCAGGAATCTTTTTAGGTACAGTTTGTGTTCCAGCATTGTGATATTCTATTCCTGTTATTTTATGTCTAAATCCACCAAGAAATGGCTTATGAAAGTCAGATTTTACAATGTGAACAATGACCTCTTGGAACTGATCAGTGCCTAAAAAGAAAAAACCCAAGACTGAATGAAAGTTCAGCTGAAGAGGGACTTGAAAATACTTTATCTAAAAGGCATCAAATAACTTACCAGTTTGTACAATGACACTTATGATTTGAGAGACATCATTTAACTTAGGTATTCTTTTGATGGGATACAGATCTGGATTTAGAGAAGAGATTTCCAGTTGTACACTTTCCTGTGGCTTAATTCCATGTTGTATGAGAGTCTCATTATTTTTAAGAATTTTACCTAAAAATGAAAAGTTTAAGTTTTATGGCAAAGAAATGGCTGTATTTTTGGTTGGTGTTTTTAAGAGAGAATAAAATTCTATATACTTCAAATGTTCAACATGATGTTTGAATTTATGTACATATTGTAAAATAAAGCTAATCAACCTCATTAACATATCATTACCTCAAATATTTATTATCTGGTGGTGACAATACTTAAAATTTCCTTTCAGCAGTGTTCAAGTAGGCAATATACCATTATAAATTATAGTCACCATGATTACAACAGTCATTAGAAGTACATAACCAGGTAAACTCATCTTAATGTTATATAAATTACTGAGGATGTTTATATAAACATACATTATTTAATTATTAAATAGATAGCTAATAGTTTCTGCCTCTTGCTTTAATGTTAGAACAGAAAACTCTGTAAGAGACTACTATAATGTATTATACATTTTATGAATAGCTATAAGCAGGAAGTTCAAAACCTCCAAGTACAGAGTAATTATAAGGTGTTTTTGTGGTTCTTGTTTGCTTTATACCAGGGATAGAACTCACAACTTTACTCTTACCAGGCAAACACTTGAGCCAGTGAGCTATACCCCTGGCCCTAGAGTAATTACAAGGAGATGGAAACATTAGTTACTCTGATTTGGCCAATATACAGTGAATATATGTGTTGAAGTATTATTTTTATCTCATAAATATATATATTTACTTCATAAATATACATATTTACTAATCAAAAAAATTTATTTAAGGAACTATTAATGCTAATTACCTGACTGGATCTTTATACACTGAATCCATGTGTCAGATTATCACACTGAACTCCATAAATATGTATAAAAATTAAAATAATAATAAAATAAACTTTAAACACCACAAGAGGACATATGTACATATATCTAAGTGGAATTCTTGTGCAGGAATTCAGCACTATAAACAAATCTACAACTCTGAATTCTTTAAATACATAATCATATAACAACCATGAAACATTTAAAAACAAAAATATTCTATAGTATGAACAGGATCATGCATTAAACCTTGACTCTATGGAAAACCACAATGTGTTATATGTAAATATGGGATATAACAATATTAGGGAAAGCAGGGTTATTATAAAATTATTAAAAAACCCTCTAGGCTTGAAAGCATAGACTCAAAATCCCACAGAATTCTTTCCTTTTTCTCTTTCCATAGTCAGAAATTCACAGAAACTAATAAGCGCCAGAGTGAAAGTTAACCTCAGTTTTATGCTGGAAAAAGTGTATACCACTCCATCACTTTATTCTTTGTTGTTGTTGAACTACCTCAACTTGTATGCCCCTTTTCTGGCTCCTCAATAAATTAACTGTCTTACTCTGTTTTAAGTCATACAAAAGTGCAACAATGTTACTGGCTGTTGTTTTGTGTCGTGGAAACAATGATGGAATCTATATCAATATTCAAATGTACAATCTTCCTCAATTAAAATTAAGAATTTGAACACAGCAACAATCATATTCATAAGACATATCAAACACTAGTCATCTATTTTGGCTATATTCCAGAAAACACATTTTAAGATCTTTGAGCTTCAATGTCATACCCTATATCTTAATTTTAAAAATATATATGAATTTTTATAAACTTCATGATTGTTGAATAATGGCTGCCAAATGTATCCATATCCTACTCCTAGCATAGCTGCTTTACACAGAAAAAGTGACTTTATAGAGTTTTGAGATAAAGCAATTATCCAAGCTATCTGGTTGGGCCTCTGAGGATGGAAAGAGGCCAATGAATCAATGAATGCTAGGAATGCAACTCTAGAGGCTGGAAGGCTAGGAAGTAGATTCTCCCCGCAAGGCTCTGGAGGGACAGCAGCTGCTGACGCCTTGGAAACTGATTTAGAGTTTCTGGCCTCCAGAACTGTAAGAGAAATACACGTGTTACTTTCATTAAGCCCCTAAACTCATGGTTGGTACAACAGCCATCGAAAAACAATATAAATTTCCAGAGCTCCTTTCTTTCTTCTGCTTGTTTCTAGAGTGGGCATGATCCCAGCAAACAAACTCCAATTCCAGTCCTAGAAGCCACCTATTCTAAGAATGGCTGGTAAAAAACCTAGCTCTTCTGTCATTGCTGCTGGCATTCCTTGTCACCCAGTGATAATACCTGGTGCTTAGAAAGAATACCTGCTCATGAAGTACATAGGATTGAGGGTTCCATAAGTACCACTGGTCATGTGTCTCAGTCTCTAATGCTCTCTCCTTCAGTTTTGAACTTCAGCTTTGAGAAAATGGCAAGCAATTTCAGATTTCCTCTTTAGAGTCATACCTATGTTTCAGTACAGACTCTACCATTTATCATTTGCATGACTTTTGAAAGTTTCCTGTTTTAGTTTTCTTCTCTCAAAAAAGGTTAATAGTAATATCTCTCTCAAAAGATTGTCATATGCATTAAATGGTAGTATAGACAAAATATTTTGTAGAAGTATTAATGCATAATAAAGATTCAATAAACTGATTATGATCATCACCATTATCATTTTACTAATAATTTTTTAAAAATGTATCCTGTTTCTTTCATCTAATCAGTTATTTGAATATATTTTACTTTCTGAGTACTACATTCACTATAGTGGATTTTTAAAATAATTTTTCAATTGAATTGTTTTTTATGGAAACTTCTTAAGTCAGTACAAAAGCTCTTGAAACAAAATATTAAGTGTTGTTCAGATATATTCTATAGAAACATATATTAATCCAATAAAACTATTACAAAAACTACGTCCAATCGTGAAACAAGGATAACATAACTTTTATGAAGCTTTTCAATATCACCCACAAAATAGAAATAAACCTAACAACATGGTAATGACCTTACTGCATAGAGAACACAATATTTTCAGTGGCTTGGGATGTAGCACAGTAAAATAGTACTTCTCTAGCATGTCCAAAGCCCTAGGTTTGCTCCCCAGTACAGAAAGAAAGAATGAATGAATGAACAAAAGATAGTTCTTAAGTCTCTGAAGCTCTTTTATCCCTTTTTCATCGATTTTTGTGCATATATTTACCAAAGCATTTACATATTATGTAGTAACTGTTGTATGCAATTCTTTTTACTCCTCTATTGACAACTAGAGAATAAGTATCTCATTTCATGTTTCTTTGCATTTTCAGTTATTAGCCAAATATGTAGCACAAATTCATCATTATTTTTAATATTTAATATTCATCATTATTTTAAATGATTATATAACCACAGTATGCTCAAATAGTAAATATCAAGATATTTAGTTTAAGAAATCAAAGATGCTGTTTAACCATTAAAACTAGAGAAGACTTAATAAATTCTTTACCCTCAAATTTACCTGCACAATGTATCTGCAATTCAGAAGCTGGGATAGCTAATAATCTTGAAAAGTGATCCACAAGATATTTTAAAATGGTATCAACCTTAAAAAATATTATAGTTTCCTGACCCACAGGAATAAGTACAACTTTTACTGTAGAGAAAAAGAGAAAAATGATCATAATCAAACATAGCTAGGACTAACAACTTATACTCCACAGACATGCAAAATTATGAGCCCCTTTCTAATCATATGGAATGCAAATTGCTTCTCCCCTCCATCCAGTCAAATGTAAGGAGAAATAGCCAATGCTGACTTGAAAACTTTGGCTCTAAAAATTAACATTACAATATCAAAAATTTTCATCAATGTTCAACAGCTGGTATATATTATTCTGATAGAAGCCTAGGAAACATCTCAAAAAATCAGACATTTTTGTGTTGTAAGCACCAGAAATTAGAATGCAGTGTAACTACTTTTTTAAAAAAATGACTATTATCACTCACCCACAACAGGTATTTTTCACAAACATTGGAACTGAATGACTCAGACTCTACGAAACAGGGCACCAAGATGCTTAATTTTAAAAGGAAAAATTGTTATCAGAAAATGATTGTTCAAAAACTATGAAAAAGAATAGTGTTTATAACCTAATTAACATGGAATAAACTTTTTTCTTTTATAGCTATAAACTTTAAATTTTATTAGAGAGTGTTTAATAAGATGGAGTAAAGAATTCACATTAAAGAAAAGATTGTGTGTATTTCTAAATGTCAGACATGACAGTTTTTCATGAAGCTAAATGAAATATTTGTCAATAAATAATCCCATAACAAAACTTACCTAAGCACTAGTACTATTAAGGTTCTTTGACCTTGCTAAAATCTGTCCTAATAGTTCAATGTAAATAAAGACAATATTTTCAGAGCTAAACATTGTCAAATAACTGTTTGAATTGTTTCATGAATATAAAAAACTATAACAGATTTCAAAACTTCCTTAATAGTGTCTTCTTGAGCATTCAGCAAGCAGTCATATTAAGAGATTTTTCAAACTCAGGATTCATGGGACTAACACAATCGTTTTTAACCACCATGTGTTATAAGTGAAAATATCAGAGAATTACAAAAATACTCAAAATGAAACCTAAATTTACACTAATTAATGAAACTGAGAAATACTCTGTTCTGTCAAATACAAATGGCTTATTTTTCTGTGTTTCCTTTTCATTCTTTACTTTTGTGGACACACCACACAAAAATAAGCTACCCTCTGTGTTCAAAAACTACATTTGACGAGAAAACCTTTGCTGCTGCTATTATTGTTAAATAATGGCCATGTTCTCCACCCTGTGGGTGGAAACCATCTTAAAACTCAAAATAAGGGGGAAAGGAGTAGTGAGTTAATGGTTTTCTGTGCAAACACCTTATTCCCGGTTCCCATTCTGTGCTATCAAGAATGCAATAGTAACCATTAACTGCCATCAGTATCGTTTGGTAAATGTCTTTAAAACGGGTCTACAATGAAAGACAGCAATGATTTTTCCAAAGCTAAATATGAAGTTAACACAAAGCAGACAGAGTATAGTCATGTGCAAAAGCAACTTGCTTAGTGGAATGGACCCTGAATAAGAAACTAGAAAAATCAAGAAAATCATTGACCGCTTGCTAGCTATGTGCAACAAATAGTTCCAAATTGACACGCAAAGAAATTCCAATTATGCTGAAGCATTTGTCCACCATTTCTGATGTTCCGTGAGCAATTTTAAAAGATACTTTTTGAAAAAATATACAAATACGAATTGAATGATGCTCATTTATTGAGAGAGAATATCAGTGTGGAGCGTGGGACAGAATTTTTCACAGATGCTGAATAGATTCAAATGGTGTAACCACAGAAGACTGGTAGACAAAGGAACGGGAAAGTAGTATCAGATGTAAATGCATCTTCAACAAAAATAAACAAGAAAAAGCATCAAAAAAAGAAAGAAAACAGAACAGAAAAAGCATCCGTTTTTTAAAAATGGGAAAATAAAATATCCTATCTTTTCTAGGTAATACCTTGTGCTGAAGACTCTTTACTTGATATTTTCAAAGACTGCCTCAGAGCCCTTATTTTATCCAGAAAAGCCAGATTTTCATAACTTAGATTCTGTTCATCCAGCTCCATTGCATGCTGCTCTTCCTCATGGCTCAGAAAACTGGAAGCTTGTCCTGGGGACACAGCCTCTTCCGAGAATTGTTCTTCATTAGATTCCAGACTTGTGACACTCCGGTGACTTTGCTCTTCAGGTGTTTCACGATCTGCACTGAACTGTTCTGCTTCAGATCTATTTTCTTCAGTTGGTTCTGATTCTTCCAGTGCATCTGAGGGAACTGGGATATTGATAATATCAACAGCTTCATCATTTTCTTCTATTAAATCAACTGTGTCTTGAGTATTCAACTGCTCCTCTTGATTAGACATTTTTCTAAATTAAGAAAAAAAAAACACATGTATCACACATGTAAGGGTTTCTACATCAAATGTCAATCTTCTTGCTGGTATACAGTGATGTTCATAAATTAATACATTCATTTCTTAAGTGTTGATTATCTTATAATGGCAATGTTAAAATGTATCGGTGAATTTTTAAAACACAGAAAGTAAAATAACTTCAAAACAAGAATCTTGAGAGTGACATTCTATAAATAATACATGGAAAAGTACTTGAATACATTTTGTTATTCATTTTTACTGAGTAAGTCAGTAAAAAGTGTTATAATAAAAAGACTTTCAGAAGTACTCTTTTCTAAATTCAAAACTGACGTGGACATATGCTTCTGACATTAGAATTGGTGAGAAACTTCAAAGACCAGTCAGCTCCACAGCAACTGCTTCTTAGCTGCTGTAGTCTTTGCATTAGCTCTTTGCTCACAGATTCCAACACAGATCACCAATGACCTGTGCCTACCAGAACAAACATGCAAATATGAGTTGAGCTTAGAGTTCACTGGAGCTAGAGTCCTTGGACTTGGGAAACAGGATGATGGCAAATGTAAGCATGGGCCAGGGTGGTCCAAGGTAACCCAGAGTTAGGGTACAAAGAGTAGGAACTGGGTGAAAGCATTGAGAGCCCAAAGAGCAAGCTACAGGAGCTGGCAGCCAGGAAGGGAGGATGGGGTGGTAGCCCTGAGCTTTCATTTCTAGAAAACAGCAAGCGGAAGATTAGACCTGGGAAAAGGAGTGAGATGCAAAAGCTATATGTTAGGCTTCTGATTTAACTACAAACCTCTCTCTTAGAGAGAGAAAGAAAAATCATCTTTAGTAGAGATATCTGACTACTAGAAAATAAAAGCTTTTAAAAAGAAACATCTGAAATAAAAATATATAATTGTTCAACTCAATGAATAAGCTATAAAGCACTAGAAAGAGCTGAAGATAAGATTAGTCACCTGGGAGAAAATATTTTGTATTAAAGGCCACAAAGAGATTAGGATATAAAACTGTAAGAACCATGGAGAAGAGGGAAAAAAGTCTGGCATATGGTTTTGCTATTTTTCAGCAAGCAAAAAAATGGCCCTGTATTTTTAAATTGCAACAAAGAATACGTAACACAGATTGCATGTGGCCTGTGAAGCCTAAAAATGGCCTTTTCAGAAAATTTTTGTCAGCTTCTGATCTAGCATATGTCAAATTAGAGTTCAGAAGGAGAAAACAAGATTATGGAAGAAGAAATATTTTAAAAGACAGTGGCTGAGAATTTTGCAAAACCAAGAGAATGTATGAATCCACCAATCCAGTATGAATAAAATAAATCTGCATAGCTAATAAAATAAATAATTTATAGCCACACATATTATAATGAAATTATAGCAAGCCAAAGACAGAATCCTGAGAACAGTAGAAAAGGGCTTAATCATCTTTTGTTTGGAATCATTTTTAATTTGCTAGTTTAAAAAAGGCCAAAAAAAAAAAATAAAAGCCAAGAAGGGATTATGAAAGAAAATAATTATCATTGGAGCACCATAAACCCAGAAAAATTATCATTCAAGAAAAAAAATGGAAACATCAATAAGTTACCACAAAGATATCTAGTTTAAAGCAATTTCTAGAGAATATATGTAAAAGAAGAAAAATGATTCCAAACTGCAATCTAAACAAGGAAAGATGAACACATAAAGCCACAAATATATAGATAAATTCAAACAAATATTGTTAGTACAAAATTAGTATAGAAAATCAAAACAGTACAGGTAAGACACTACTATATAATTATATATCGACAAATTGGAAAATCTAGAAGAAATTAATAAATTGGTAGAAACACAATACCAAAGAAACAGAGAACCTGAACATACTAGTAATGAATAGGAAGATTCAATTAGTAATTAAAGTCTTTCAAAAAAGAAAAACCCAGAACCAATGGGCTCATGGAAGAATTATTCAGCCAAACATTTAAATAATTATATGAATCTGTTTTAACTTCTCAAAAATCTTTCGGAAATACTTCAACACTCATTTTAGTGAGCCAATATTATACTGAAAATAAAGTCAGACAAGGACTCCATATAAGAAAAGAAAATTACATACGAAATCCCTATGAACACAGTTGCAAAAAATCCTTAACAAAGTACAGGTTGAAATTCCTAATCCAAAAAGTCAAAATTAAAAATACTACTAAATCTAAACTTTAAATTTATTCCAAAATTTGAAAAACTCTGAATTTTGAAATATTTCTGTTCTATTTTGGGAAAGGAATACTCCACCTATGTTAGGCAAACTGAATTCAACAGCATTTATCTTATGTATTTAGTGCATGTTTGAGATTCTCGCATGTTGCAACCATCTTGAGGAGCGGTTCCATGTACATAGCACAGCTTCCTTTTTAAAAAGTCTCATTTCCCTTGCCTCCCCCTCATTCCTTCCCCTCTCCTTCCCCAATCCCTTTTATCATGCTTGTTATTATTTGTGTTAGCTCATATTATGACATATAGTGTTTACATTAACTGGGGATATTAGTGTGTTGCCAATATGCAACACACTTTATTCTTATTTCCTCTTCCTTTCCTCCTCAGCCTTTACCCTTTTTCCTTTGCACCACTTTGTGAGATATTCATCCCCTTTCCCTTTCTATCAGTCCTTTCTCATGTTCTTTGTACTTTGCTTCACTCACATGAAAGATACTAGACAGTATCTAAGCTTGTATGTCCAGTTCACTCAACATTACAGTTTCCAGGTGGATCCATTTTCCTACAAATTCCTCAAATGTATCACTCTTTAGGGCCAATTAGTATTCCATAATATACAGATGCTACATTTTCTTTATCCAGTCATCTGTTGATGGGTACTTCCCTTCTTTTTTTTCCTTCCTTTCTTTTTTTGTCTAGTTGTTTTGACTAGTATTCAACAGAGTACTGTAAATTCTAGTCAAAACAACTAGACAAGAAAAAAAGAGAAGGAATGGAAGGAAGAGAGGGAGAGCATCTAAATTTTAAAAAGGAATAAATGAAATATTTTCCACTTGTCTAGCATGCATGGGCCCTGGGTTCAGTTCCCAGTGCTGGGGAAAAAAAAAAAAAAAAAGATGGTCTTAACACTAGGAGACTGGCTCTGTCTCCCAAGGCTGCTCATCATACAAATATCTTTGAAAAGACAGTCCAGATGAAAGCAACCATTGTCTCTCAAGCAGAAATACAACAAAGATATGAAGAATTGTCTCCCAAGAGAAACATCAGCCAGCACCAAGAAGTCTCCAGAGTCAGGCTCTTATCTCATAGCTGTTCAGTGAGGATGTCAAGTTCAGAACATTAACCAAACTGTGCAGTAAGAAAATAACCACATAAACACATAAGGTTTGCTATTGGAATCATCTTCAATTCTTCCCTTTCTCTCTAACATTTTTCAGTCATTCAATAAGCCCTGCCAATACCGACCTAGAAGCTCAGTATTAGTTATACTTCAGCAGTAAGAGTCTGTTGATCATTTCAATTTCAGTTCTGAAACCCTTACCTCCAGAAAGAGACCATTATTCCCACAGCAGCCAGAGACTTGCGGGCGGGGAGGGGGATTTGGATCAAATCCAGAACCTTGTGCATACTGTTACCTGCTCTATCACTGAGCACCCTAAGCCCTTAGCAGGCACAGAGGTCATGGACCTCTCATGCTTAAATACCTCTATAATAAAATGTACTCCAAGAGACGTCCTAAATGATTTAGCTCATTTTGTAAACATCCCACCCCCCAACCCAATCTTAATATATATTGAGTTCCACGTTGGGAGGTTCTTTCTCTCTTTCTTTCTTTCCTTTCTTTCTTTTTCTTTCTTTCTTTCTTTCTTTCTTTCTTTCTCTTTCTTTCTTTATTTTTCTTTCTTTTTAATGCAAATTAAACCTAGGGCCTTGAACATGCTAGGCAAACAGTCTATTACTGAGCCACCACCTCAACTATTCTTATTTTTAGACTGTTGTCCAGGTTGGCTGTACACCTGTAATCCTCCTGCCTCCACCTCCTAACTAGCTGGGATCACAGAGGTGGACTGCCACACCACATTTTCATTTTCCATTTTCTCTGTCAAAAGTGTGCTACCACAGGTCTGCACCAACTTCTATTAATCTTCTTCATCTCAGCTCAAATTCAACTTCTCTCGGGAGGATGGCTAACCACACCTGACTCCCCTCCTTATTTTATTTTATTCATAGACTTAATCATTGTTGAAAAGCATAATTTCTTCATTCATTTGCTTGGTTATTGTCTGTCATCCCTTAGTAGAATAATGCTGTCATGAGAGGAAGAATCTTTTCTGCCCTATCAGTGTTGGTTCTCCTCGATGAGAATTAGGCTTAGCAATCGTTACATGCTCAAATATTCTTGACTTTTGTAATTCCGGCACATGGAGGCTGAGGTAGGAGAATCACTGGATTTGAGGGCAGTCTGGGCTACACAGTAAGTTCAAAGCCAGCCTGAACTGCATAGGGAAACCTTGTCACAAAAAGACCAAAAAAAAAAAAAAATCTTGGCTTTGATCTATAGTTAAACACAGGATGCAAAGATCAACATTATGAGAACTGTTGATATAATTCAATATACTGAGCAAAAGGAAAAATACCTGTACATATGTTAAAAATCTGCACATATTCCTGATTTTAAAAACCTATGAATTAAAAAGTAAAATCAAACTTTATTTTTTCTGATAAAGTGCATCAATTTGCAAAATATTTAATTAAACACTAACTAAATGTAATCTCATTTAATGTAGGAACAGAAAAAAGATGCAATTATTGCTGCTGATGAAAACCATAAAGGAAAAGGAAATGAGATATAAATATTTGAAGACAGCGCCAAAATTTTGTCATTTATGAGTCCCTCTTAAGTGAGAATAATGAAATTAATATGAACATCCATTATTGAAAGAAATACTCAGAAATTAGAAAATAGGATACATAGATTCACATTCTCCATCCTTTTATTCTATCACCACCTTTAAAAAAA